TCAGAGCTTATCGGGTATCGTTGGTAGAACACACACAATATTGACAGCAATTAAGCAATGTTCAAGATGGACGGAATGACATCATGCATGAATGTGCCTCTCGTTTAATGCAGATCAGATCGGAGAATAACTTGACATTGAACTATGGCCTGGATGCTACAAGACGAAGCAATGCCACGTTGACTCTTAAGATGGCCCAAGAAGGAGGAAAAGAGTGCTTACAACCACCCACACATACACACACAGCCGTGACTTGGCTATGATATTACCTGTATTATAGTCCCCTCAACTGCCGAGTCTGCCCATTGATTGGCGACATCAATCCATGTCACTTCGGCCGAGAGATCGGGTCCGGAAGCGAAGCGAAGCGTTAACATTGCCGCCTCAAAAGATCTCCATCATTAGAATTAGAACCTTTCGGAATTCGGTCCAACGTCCAGCGGGGTCCCGAGGCTTGCGTCTTGTTAAACAAACGCCATCTCTACCGGTATCTTTCGAATACTAATCACATGAGGTAGACGTCTAGTATTACGAATCCTCCGGACGCAGTTTCAAATACGGCACCGACGGATACCAAGGTTTTATGTCTGTCCGTCGGAGGGATTACCAAGACAGAACAAAACAAGAGACGGAATTGGCAAATCCAAAAGATGAAATGCCATAGTGACGCACCATTGGACACACAGGATCCAAAGCTGAGTTTCAATCAAGGCCCCAATTACCCCCTAAGGCGAAGCGTCCGAGCCTCGGCACTGCTTACGACCGGACACGGTTTCTCAACATGGACAGACTAGACAGAGCTGAATCACAAAACTCCCCAGCTTTTTTTCTGGCGGCCGGTTGCGTTCCCCACCGACCGGTCGATCCCCGAGGGCGCCGGTGCCGAACACTTTACGCTTGACGGGGATATATCCTCATGGGAATAGCGTCCCGCGTCCTAGCGCGCTGCCAGTGGGAAAGATGACCCAGACACCGCTCTAAACCTCACGGAGATAACAACCCCAGAGAGACAAGACATCCTGCACTAGAGAATGTGCTAGCTAGCTAATAAGTGACCGTGAGTGAAAAAGTGAGGTACTAAAGGGCGTGAGTCCCCGGATTGTTGAGACTGATTACAACTACTAACTAACTAGATCTCTTGTTTACTTACTCATTCAGTGGACGAAAAAGAAGTGTGTGATACACTTGTTGTTTATTATCATCGTGAAAAAGATACACTTACGCCACTTGGTATAAATACCGGAAAGATTGACCTACTACTGTCTTACAACTTTTGACTTACTTTAGATCGAGAGACACAAACCCGTCTGTTGCTCAACATTCCACAACACAACCAACCAACACCAACACCAACACTACCTTACACAAAACAACCCCTACCTCCACCAAGTAAACAACACCACCATCACAACTGTTTAACAATGGCCCGTGATAACCTCTCCATCGTGCTCGCTGAGCGTCCCACCACAGACATCATCCCCGGCCAGACCTTCACCCAAAAGACATCCCCAGCTCCCACACCAGCTGATCTCCAAGATGGCCAAATCCTCGTTGAGACCCTCTACCTATCCCTCGACCCCGCCATGCGAGGCTGGCTCCGAGGTACGTTTTCTTTCTTGTGTATAACATAGTTATCTTGTACTAACAACCCCAGACATGCGCTCGTATCTCCCCCCCGTTCAAATCGGCCAAACCATGCGTGGGTCATGCGCATGCCGCGTCCTCGCCTCAAAGAGCAAGCAGGCCAAAGAAGGCGACATCGTCTCCGCCCTCACAGGCTGGACCGAATTCGCCGTTCTCCCCGAAGGTCGTTTCGAGCCTGCATCCCTGTACCCTGGTCTTCAAGACCCCAAGGACATGCTCTCTGCTCTGGGAATGACAAGCTTGACTGCTTGGGTTGGCATGTCCAAGATCGCTGACCCCAAGCCCGGTGAGCTTGTCGTCGTGTCCGGCGCTGCTGGTGCTACCGGAAGTGTGGCGGGCCAGATCGCTAAGCTCAAGGGTGCGCGGGTCGTGGGCATCGCGGGTGGTGATGATAAGTGCAAGTGGCTCACTCAGGAGTTGGGCTTTGATGTTGCGTTGAACTACAAGGCGGATGATTTTAAGGAAAAGTTCGCTGAGGCGACAAAGGACTACATCGATGTCTACTACGACAATGGTTAGTCTCACCGCCGAATCTTCAACCATGACGGAACTAACATTTCTTAGTTGGTGGCGATATCCTCGACATGTGTCTCATGCGAGCAAAGGAACACGCCCGCTTCATCGAGTGCGGCCTCGTCAGCCAGTACAACGCCGCCAAGCCCCAGGGCCCCCGAGCATTCTCCCAGATCGTCACCATGCGCATCCGAATGCAGGGCTTCATCGTCCTGGACCACGTCAAAGACTTCCCCGCTGCCCGAGCTGAGCTGGCTCAGTGGATCGCAGAGGGCAAGCTCAAGAAGACGGAGACTGTTGTTCGTGGTGGCCTCAAGGTTGCTGAGCAGGCTCTTGTGGACTTGTACAAGGGTATCAACACTGGAAAGTTGATTGTTGAGATCAAGAACCACAACGAGACCCCCTCCAAGCTGTAGAGGGTAATCTCGAGAAGACAAAATTGTCGTTTGTGGTATGTACACTTGGGAGTTGATTTGAGATCAGGAACGATAAGACCCCCGAAAGTCGGGGAGGGAATGGGATTGTTTATGAGATACTCCGTACCTTGTCGGTAGTTAATGATATGCCATGATTTATGGACAGACTGTTCAGTGCTGCATGCTGCTAGGAGTTTGTTCAAGCTGCTTCTTTAAACAACCCCCATCGTGTATTGCTGTCCATCTAGATCCCCGCAACTTTTCTCTATCCCTGTCTATCAATGCCATTCTATCAGTAAACGTATCGAAAGTAAGGGTTCTCCTTATCAGTCAAATCCTGAAACGCCAACTTTGCTCTCTCACTCTCATCTCCCAGCCCCAGAGCATCCCTCCTCTTATTCTCGTTCCTCAGAACAAAGTACAGCGTAGTCGACGCACAGATACAAATGATGTAACTAAAACAGTCAGCCAAGATCTTCAAACAAATTCATGCGAAACTTACCAGATAATCAGTCCCAGCCAAAGAGCAGGATAGTGATCCTTCTTCGTCTGACTCCAAACAAGCTGCGGCCCAACAATATTTCCCACACAATACGCCACAAATATCGTAGCAGCCATGAAACTCTTCTTCGTATGACCAGCAACATTCGACATTCCAATAGTAATTATCAGACTCACTGTACCCCCAAAGAACCCCGTAATCGAGTATCCCACCACCGGTGCAGCAGCGCGATAACTCCACTCGCTCTTCCAGATGATGGCACAACCCGCGATCACGGGAAGGCATGTAAAGATAAGCATGAAGATGCGGATGTTGGTGAATTTGGAGCCCAGCCAGCCTGTGAGGAGAATCACGATGAAGCACAGTCCGCCGAGGGGGAATTGGAATAGGATGGAGTGCAGGGTGCTCCAGCCAAAGGTCGAGACGATGAGGGGTCCGAAACCGCTTACGGCGCCGTTGACGGTGTATGCTGATGCCATCATAAGTGCCACGAGCCAGATCTTGACGTCGAGAATAGCTTCTTTGAGCTGTGAGCTTTTGAACTTGGTGCAGCGCACACCAGTTTGTCCATGTCTCAAACGCTCAACAGCAGCGAAGCGTTCTTCAGAGGTGAGGAACCAAGCCGACACAGGCGAATTCGGCATGATGAAGCAGAACAGCCCAAAAAGAAAAGTCAGTGATCCAGCAAGAAGATAAATATACTGCCATCTCTTCAACCCCCCGCCCGTAATCTGCGCAAACCCATAGTTCATCGCTCCACCAATAATGGTGAACAGTCCCGTGGACGAGAACCACCAACTCTGTCGCAAAGACTGCTCAGACTGCGTATAGTACCCCGAGACGATGCACATGAAGCCAGTGGGGATTATACTCTCCACGAAACCGAGGAAGAATCGCTGGACGTATAGACCCTTGTAGGACGTCACCGCAGCAGTGAGCATGCAGATAGCAGCCCACACGACGACCACGCCGCCAAGAACACGACCGATGTTGAATCTCTGAAGAGCGAATGTCATGGGATACAAACCCGCCAGCATTCCAAAGTAGAACAGCGACGTTGCCCAGCTTAAACGACGGGTATCGACAGTTGGTGGTGTAGTCGTTGCATCAACAATGGTGAGGTGTAAATCCGTCGTCATGCCGAAGAGAACTGCGGAACCGAGAATAGCTTTGTCGTAGTATACAAGGCCATCTATACATGTTAGAGTTATCTGGGGAGGTTGAGGTGAAACGTACAGCCTATGATCATAGCGGGAATGAGAAACAAATCAATCTTTCGAACTGCGCGCGCCGCGACGATGGGATCAATCGAGTGCTGCTCCTCGCCTACAATGGCGATAGCTTCATCTCTCGTTCCCACCGGCGCCTGCGCGGCATTTACTTGACTTTCTGTTCCCATTTTTGCTCTTGTGGCGAAGATATCATGAGGTTGCAATGAGCAATTGAGTTTCTGAAAAAACTAGCTGCGAGCTCCAAGAGTCTTTTTAGCCGCAGCCAAGCAAATAAAAAATGTCATATGATATACCATGCATAGCTTCAGTGAGGCAATTTTTTCATCACCATCGATAGCCGTTTTAAGCCTCAGCTGCATTCAAAACACCCTTGTAGCTCATTGAGCTAAAGTGAACTACCAGAGTGTTTTTTCTTTAGTTTGGTGTTCTGCACTACGGATGTGAACCGGGATTAGAATGGTTCGTGGGGGTTTGTCGATCGATGAATGGTGAGATTTCACTCTACGGCCCGTTTAGTTATGCCTCGCTTGGAAACTCTGTATTGTATTTCATGATACGATGACAAGTATACCTAGCAAAAAGACTCGCCTACAAGATGCTATCGCTGAGCTAGGAATGCATGTTCTATAACCTGTGATGCCCTTACCCCCCCAACGCCTGGCTAACAGTATATTCAACGACCCTGGTATCAAATCAGAAGATTCTCTTAGTACTGGGTCCAACCCATTGCACTTCTGAACAATTCCTGTTCGACCTCCACTGCTCAATCCTCTCCGTCAGCCATCCTGACTTGAAATCCACCCATCGGTCTTGGCGATCTGGCGGTGGTGGTATAACATTGCCCTTGTCGTCTTTGACCTCAGGCTCAATAATCTTCTCGGGTTGTCGTGGCTCGCCGACTCGGAAGGACTTGGAAGTAACACACTTTTTCTCGTCGCGACCTCGCCAATTGTACTGTAGACAATCGCTGCTGTCCTTGCAGTACTTGCCGCACGCTTCAAACGAGTCGATTCTTGCTTCGGGCGGTGCAACTGTAAAATCCCATTTGCCATTGTCCCAATTCTCTGCAACTTCACGATCGCCAGGATGGTGAAACTTCCACACGTCAGAGTAAAGTAACGGGCGCTATGATGGTTAGAAAGGTTAAACAAAGTTTACCGGTGTTCAAACTTACCCCGAGCTGTCGTTGCGCAAACTCCCACCGCCAAACGTCAACCATGTCTTTCGGCGACGACTTGTGTAGCGTCATGACAGGCTGGCACCAATACTTGTCGCTGAAGGGAATACTGTGCAGAGGATGCGGGTTGAACAGCGGCCAGTATCCCCTCAGCGGAACACTGACGTTCCACAACGCCCATCCCGTAACGCTGTCACCGCAGCAATCGTCCCGAAGCATGGGAAGCCACTTTTCCGCAGCTGGCGGTTCGACGTACTGTCCGTAGGGCGTTGTCTTACGGACGAGAAGTGCCCTCATCGCACCACGGCTGAGAACAAAGCCTGGCCCGCCGTTTGCGAACCATGTCTTTATGTCTTGTTTAACGTCGTGCGTACCCGGCGAGGGGGAGCCCATGTATAACGGCGCATCGGGGTCGAAGGTTTGGAGGAAGCGGAAGGCGTTGTCCCAGAAGACGTAGCTGTAACCGTTAGTGGCGTGTCAAGCTGCGCGGGTGTGGAAACTTACGTATCTGTCTCGAAGAAGAAGTAAAAGTCTTTGTTTGGCTTCATCTTCCATGCGCGCTCGATCATCGGGAGGAATTTGAACTTGTCCATCCTCCATCCTTGGATGCGCGCTGTCGCTTCCGTATCCACGTCGAGGGTGCCATTTGCCCGCATTTCCTTCTGCCACATGTAATTCACGAAATCGGGGTTGTCGTGGTAGTAAATGGCGGGTAGATCGGCGAGGACATCGATCGCTTGGTGGTCGTGTATCGACTCGTCGAGATCCGAGAAGACCAGCAACTCGTCCTTTCCAAAACAAGCGCTCACACTATCGAATTGAGCATCGAGTCTTTCTTTCGTGTCGGCGTGGCCCATCTTCAAGACAGGCTGTATCGTCTGTAGCAAATGCTTGGGGAACGTCGCGCAAAGGTCTTCGGTTGTCTTACCCTCGGGGTCGACGGACACAGGGCGAAAAGAACTCGTCGTCGAAAAGGAATAGTACTGAGATACGCCATAGCTACCGTGGATAGCACCCCAAAAGACAAGAATGAGAAAGATAACGGTGCAGAGGCCAGCAATGGCCATGCGACTGAAGCGTTTGTTGAGCATCAGTCGCCGGCTGGAGGAGGACCAGCTTGAGGGCATTGCAGCTGGAGCTCGAACATGGCACTAGGGCCCTGTTTTGCTATGAAATGACGATGTGAAGATTGTTTTGGGTTGTCGCGGGAAGAGACATGATGGAATGGATGGAAGTGGAAAGCCGGGATAGTCTTAGGGTGACGTTTTCAAGGGGCTAGGTCCACTAAAAGCAAGCCCCTGTCGCGGGAGCAGGACGCTCTAGAATGAGTCTGGAATCGAGTCTTGGGAACGACAGACTTTGAGTTGACAGTAGGGGATACGAGAGACAATTGACAGGTTGTAAGCTTATGGTTAAGGTTATAGTAGCTCGACTATAGGCATAAGACCTGATTATTGGCCAACACAAGCCAAATCGACACAAGGTGATGGGTATCTCTTTGTCCTCTGATTAAGTTGAATAGTGCAATGCGCTTTATGGCGATAATGTTAGAAATCACCATAATATTCTAATTAGATATCTCGAGGCCTTCTTCTATGTCAGGCAAATCGTTAGTTGCAGGAGATTGATCGTTTTCCCTCATACTCACTCAACATCTTGAGATACACGATGTGCATTCCTCGCCCTCACGCCTTCACCATTCCCACTCACCGTCCTAAACACTGAACTCGAAGAAACATTCTCATTCATCATGACCCCATCCCCTGCGCTCTCTTCGCCTTCAACCCTCTTGCTCTCACTCCCGAACCTCTTTCTAACCCAAGGTAGCAAGTTGTAATACCCACCACAGGCAAACACACCACACCACAGAACAAACTCTGTCGCGTAGATAACAATACCAAGAACATCAAGCTCAGGCTGAAAGAACACGGACACAAGCGAGAATACATCGCCTGCTGCGTCAATGGCGACGAATAGAAATGATATGCCACGGACTGTTCGGTGCTTCCAGATGTCCCAGTAGTGAGTGAGTACGCCTGCTGCGAGTAAAGCTGCAGACAGAGACGCCATGAGGATAAGAGGCCATTCTAGTGAGCGGGATTTGGCGATGCGAAGGGCGATGATGAGACTTGCTTGGATGCCGCCCATCACAGCTGCGATTGGGACGACAACGAGCAGAGAGCGGTAGACACTCCATTTCTGGCATACGTTAGCTTCCTGACCTGTGAAATGAATCGGGTTTCGTACTCTTTCGTAGTAGTAGCATTGTATCCAAGTGATCAGACTCAAAAGCGTCAAGATCTGAGGCTGTATCCGCAAGGCGACATTGAACTCTTTGACGATGTTGTACACGCCCAGTGGAACACCCGCCCATGCCCAGAGCATCATCATCGATGGTTGAAGACCCGTTGCATTGTGTCTTCTATAATTGACAATGATTTGGGGAATCAGCTACTGAGTGTTAGTTGTGGTCTTGGACAAGGTGAGAGGACTGACCTGGATTGACCAACAGACCTGGCAACGTTAGCACGCAACTTTCAGCGGAATAGACAAGGGGACTTACAGCTCCGAGGGTGCCTAGAATATTGGCTGCGACAGGCACATCCATTTTTGCATCGAAGGAAACCAGGTGGTTGTATCGTGAAGATGAGTGAGGATGGCCACCGTGGATTACACGTCAAAATTGACGCGCCAAGATTGTTAGTGCACACTACCAGATTTGGTGCACATGCTTAACAGCAACCATCATCACAAGCCAGCCAAGTCACAGTTGCAGGATTGAAATCAAAAACTCATCCAAGAAAATACAAGATTAACTGGAGTCATGCTTCTTTCAAGGCCATTAAATCTCTCAAAACGATGTCTTTCTCATTGTGCTGAGAATTATCATGGACAGGATGTTGTGCTCTTGTTTCAAGATCACCATGTCCTACCCTCTAGCCCTTTACAGACCGCCAGTCAAGACACTCTTGAACGAGTCTGGCAACTGCCCATTCCGGTATTTCCACAGTCTACTCAGGTCTCCCATTCTAGGAACTTCATCTGGCTTCATAACCCCATTCTTCGACCCCTCATCTTCAGTAACGATAAAACCCGCCGGTAGTTCCGCCTTGGTAGTCACTTTCATAGTACCATCTTTTCTCACACGAACCTTTCTATGCATAAAGTCTCCCCCCGTAGCATCCCTCGTCCTCAAAAGCTTCTTATCCAACGGAAACATATCATCAAGATAATGCTGGTTCAGCTGATGTCCTCCCCCTCTATTAATAAACACCTTGCCCGCAAACCGATTCTCATTCTGCGTATAATGCCTCGTAAAGTTCAAAACACCAAAACGGCAGGCAAAATCCTTCTCGTTCACATAATGTTCAATGTGAGGAATAACAGGAGACCTTGTGTCGTTGCCGCGGTAGGGATTGCTAAAGTGATTGGCGAGGTTGCCGAACGTGTAGACCTCGAGCTTTTGAAGTTTGTCAAGGGGCATTTCGTCGAGGAGCCAGTCTATTATCATGCCGCCTTCTATTCCGCCTTGGGAGTGGAGGATGAAGATTACTTTCTTCTTGTGGTCGTCGAGAAGGGCGTTTTTGACGAGGATGTAGCACTCGCGTACGTCTTGGGTTGCGTAGAGGAGGGCGCGTTGGATGAGACACTGAATAAGATCGAAGACGACGCCGGCACTACGCAAATAAGTAAGAATTCTTTGTGAAGAGTTGTTTTCGGGACATACGTTCGGTTGTGAATACCAACTACTGGCCGATGAAAGGTTCGTGAGATACGGTCAATGTTCTTTTGGAACCAATTCTTGCTGATCATATTCAGTAAAGTCCTCAACAGAAGCGAGGTCAAATTTACCCAACGCAAATACCGTTGAGGAATATCCAAGCCTCATCGTCATGACGAGGCCAACTCCTCGTAAACCCATCCTCACTCGACTTCAACTCACTGCGCGGAATTCCGCTATTAAAATGCCAACAGACAAGTTCATTAATCGCAAAGAACACCGCAATGTAACCAATATATACAAAAGTCGGGAGGAATGCCAGTGTAAACAGCGAAACTATGAAAGCTAGCTGAGTTACTGAGAGAATACAGTGGATTGCAATGTCGATGAGGTTCTCCCGAGATGGGTAGAGCTCACAGAACGGGCCTGATTTCCATGGATACAGAGGGATGAAGAGATAAGGAAGATAGAAGAAGTTCTGGAAGAAGAGCTTTATGTCGGAGAGGAAGAGAACGAGGGGAGTTCCTGTGTAGGGAGGGGGTTTGCGGATTGGTTTGAGAGCTTCGTTGGACGGGGGTTCGATGTAGGGGAGCTCTGAGTCTGAGTCTGGGCTGGAATACATCTTAACTTATTCACTGACCACTGAACAGATGTAACAAGTGTTTCTTGATGTTTTGGAGTTGTTTGTTTATATGTGTATACAGGCTACTATCACATGCTGGTGCTTCAGAATACGAGGAGTCTTCACGTCATGACTGCGCCCACCGCTACGGCAACTCACTCGTACAAGCCGTCGAAATAGGCACAAGTTTCTTTCAGAGGCAAATATGTACACATTCCTTTAAAAGCAAGAAAACATAAGACCTAGGTTTAGGGTAATAAAATAAACTCTATAAAGGTATCCTAAACTTATCCTAAGTTTATACTAAGTTACCTAAATCTTTTTATTAGTTAGGCTTTAGGTCCTGAGTTTTATTTCCTCCCCTAGACATTGAACCTATTATTTAGGCCAGCAGAGGCATTAAACTCCAGCTGCTGAAGACTTGGCAAGATGGATGGTAGTCAAAATGATCTTGGTGAGAGTTTCGTTTGTTCGAGATAGTAGAGTAGAAAGATCTTTGGTCGTATATGTGCTAGCAAACAGTATCAGGTAGAAGACAAAACAGTATATGCTCGAAAAGAACCTGGGCTTGAAATAGACCAGGAAGGTCTGGACCCAACAGCGTGAGGGTGTTAACCGGGACCTTCATTTCTTGGCCCAAGCGGCTAGCGATATGTTACCTATTCACCGTCCAGAGCACTGGTCCTTACTCTTACGGCGTTACCTAAGGAAGGTAGACAATACACCTGAGTTTAGAATGTCTAATTTAAGCGATGAAGGGCCTTAGGTAAACCCAGTAGATTATTAGATCACCTGCCTCCCCTAGCTGTGTCAAGCTCATGGGAGGTAGTTGATGAGCAAGAAATGATCCGTAGAGGATTAGGGGTAGGATACTGCTGTATTGGAACAAGAAGGGACCGTAGCATAAAGTCTTGTCCATAGCAAATCTCAGCACAAAGGTACTATGTCACTATGATTTTACACTTGGTCATTGTAAATATCTTTCCTATTCGTTTCCTCATAGATGGGCACAATTGACGCCGCCCTTTTCGATGTACATGACCATACCAATGATCACATATCCCATCACCGATCTCATCTCTAAATGTTTGCCATTAGAAGGTTGTCTGCATCTTGGGATAATCCTTGGCCTGGACGTGCAAGTCCGCATAGATAGCTGCAGACTGGTCATCAGCAAGATGCTTCATACGCTTCACGTCATCGTCCTCAAGATTCTCAAGCACCGTCTCAGGCTCCTCCTTTCCATCCTTCTGATCCTTCTTCTGAGGTTCAACAGCCTTCTCAATACCATCTGATTCACCGATGAGAAGGATCTGGGCGTTGGGGTAGTCAAAGTGGGATGGTTTGGAGGGAAGCCAGCGCAGAGAGCGGAACTCATCAATGATTCTGTCCATGTTAGTAATTGATTCGCAATGAAGATGATGATACTTACTCCTTGGGAAAGTCGGGTCCCCGAGGCAATTGAGCGTTCTGAGGTCCTGGATACTGTGGGTTCTTGGTGCTGATGATGAAGCTTCCCTTCTCCTTCAGCCCCAATTCCTTCTGAACCTCTTCAAGCTTCTCAGGCAGCGTCGTCAAATAAGCCAGATGGCTCTCGCGGCCAGTCGAAGTGATGGCGTACACGCCCTCGCCAACAGGTTTAGCAGGCGGTGTACGACGTGTACCAGCAGTCTTGGTTTCATACTCGTCTGCGGACAAGAACTCCTTCTTAATCTCTTCATACGAGACGCCAGACTTTTCGACGAACACCATGTAGCGCTCTTTTCCACTCTCGGGAAGGGTCTTCTTGGGAAGGGCGAGGATGCGAGTGTTGCCGGAGTCAGCAATGGGACCATCGCCGAGACGAGCGTCTTTTTCGATGGGCCGGAGCATGATGAAGGAACGGGCGATGTCATCAACGCTCTCGGGGTCTTCGAGATTCACGCGACCGCGGATGAAGAAGTAGATGATGCCTTTTTCGAGGATGCTTGAAGGAACGTCGGGCTCCTCTGAAGGCTGTACAGCATCCTTGCCGTTGGTCTCCTGTTTTCCATTGGTCTCAGAGTCTTTGCCATTGGTATCTTTCTTGTCATCTGGCTTGGACTCTTCGCCATTGGTTTCCTCCTTCTTGTCAGTCTTGGTCTTGGAGTCGTCTTCCTTTTCCGCGGCGCTGTCATTGTCCTTCGAATCATCCGAAATGACCACTACATCATCAAGAGTTGTCTGACCTGCCTCTTTTTTGGGGCGCTTCGCATCAGGAGAGTCATGCTCAATCTGATGCTTCTCGCCAGTTGAGGTCTGTTCCTCACCATTGCTGGTCTTGTCGACGTCTTCGTGCTTTGAATCGGACATTTTAGATAGTCAATGGTGTAATAGACGACAAAATTGAAGAATTGACAGATTGTTAGTGTCGAGAATAAAGACGTCGAGAAATGGCAAGATTGACGGAAAGTGGTGGACGCGTCGCGTTGAGTGTCGTACAGGTGATGTCATAGACATGTTGTCTCACCAACTTTCGTGTTTGCTTCGTGTCTTAGTTGAGCCACACAATCGATAGCGTCATTATTGATTTAGATTCCATTGTGGCTTGGTCCTTTTGTAAGTTGGTTCATTCTTCATGAGATGCTGTCATTGGCACTCTTGACCATACCAAGACCACCGATATCACGCTCGAGCAGCCTCAATGCTTCTCTAGCGAAGGGTGCAGCTGCACCACGGACTCTCAATGCCCATCTAAGCTCGTCGACTCGAGATGCACACCATGCCATCTCATCAAATGAGTCTGCAGTTGCCCAGAGTAGACCGGCCAGAGATCCTATCTCGGCTGCTTGGTACGCCGCAGCACTTCCCCAGAATGCAGCAGTGTGCTCAGGACGTAAGGACCCTAGCAGTTCAATGGCTGATTGAAGCTTGGCACGAGCTGTTGATCGTAGAACTTCGTAAAGAGATGCAGGCGTGTCTGGTGTTGTAATTCGAACCAAAGCACGATGGAGCGCGATTTCTACTGCCGCATGAGCGAGATGAAGAGCTCCATTGGCACATAATTCTCGGAGCTGGGTATTTTGCAATTGCAGTCGAGCTGGTAGATTCGCGTGCCACTCTCGAAGACGAAAGACCAGAGGCTTGGCCAATTCAACAGCAGCGACAACACCCATTTGATCCAATGTCCCTCCAACGCGAGTGGCTGCAGCGCTGTAGAATGTTCGAATCACATCACTCAGAATCTGTGTCAGCTCAATATGACGAATGAACAAGTCCCATCCAACAATGATAGGTGAAGTATGAT